AAAGTTTTAAATGGAAAGTAATATTAATGCTTTATGTATAGTTGTTGTTCCTGAGTAAAAGGTTGGTGTTTAGTATTCAGTTTACTTTTAGCTTTCTATTCTCTTGCACTTGGGATGTGGTACACTCCAAATATTTTTGCCATTGGGTTGGAAGCACGAGCACGCAACACCCTATAAATGTATAATGGTAATACTCCTTTTGGATTGTGGGTTCTTCAAGACAATTATTTTTAAGTTGAATAAAACTAGTTTTGGTTGAATATATTGAGTCATTGAACATAATTGGGATGTATGCCTGAAATCTCTATTATAGATTTTACATCAAATCAATGTTTACATGAGGAGTTGATTCTGATGGTTTGCAAAGAGTCTCTTAGTCTTAAATCTGTAGTCCCCGTACTCTCTTACGTTTTATATAACAAGGGGAAGCCTTATCTTTGAGTCGTAACAGAAGGTCAATTACATTTTGAGGGAGGAAAAACTCGATCAAATGTGATGATGAGATAAAGCGAGCTTCTAATTTATGCATTGTTACAAACTGCTTATCCTATACATGTTGATGCACCATTAATCATTCATATGTACATGAGAATGAAGAACAAAAACAATGTAAAGGGGAAAAATAATCTATTATGCAAGCCTAAAGAACAGAAATATACAGTCAGTTGTTTTGGCAAAACCCATTTCCACCGACTACCTTAAGAAGAACCCAAATGAAGAAAAAGAAAAGCAATTCCAAACAATCATGCTCAACAAATCTATGAATTTTGTACTATGCAACAAACAAGGCAATAGTGGACATAAATTTCAGGCACCTCGTGCTAGCATTTCCTGGAATTCCAGTAAAGACCTTTCTTTCTGAAGCCTCATATCTTCACGAAACTTGGAGATGAACTCCTCTGCCTTCTGATCCACCTGCAGCTGAGGTGACTTAGCAACCACAGCCTTCCATGCATCCTCTAAAGTATTCACGCAACTGTTCCCTCCTTCCAGATCCTTCTTCTTCTCAATCACCACTCTGCCTCTGCTTGTTTCCCCTTGTGAGAATGAGTCCTGTTGGCATGCGCGACCATGGAAGAAGCAGGCTCAGGAAAGAGGTCGTCTATGCGTATTGCAGATATGTTCTTGCCATGAACACGATAATCAGAAGCAGCATATGATGATCTTCTTCCTGTGAGAGAACGACGACCTCTAGAGGGTACGAGGTGATGAAGGGAATGCAAGGTGGCAAGTAGGCGTTTGAAGGTGGCTTTGATGGCTCTTGGAATGCCGAGTTTGTGGAGTTTTGATTGCATTTTGTTGGAAAAGCTCTTCCAAGCCTTCTTGGCAGGTTGAAGCTTCTTTCCTAGCCTCAGACGAGACATTCCAAGGAAGACTTGTTTTGGTGGAAAGAGATGAAAGAAAAAAAGAGAAGGGGTGGATAGGAACAAGTTCCACTATAAGAGGTGGGAGAATTAGAACTTAGGAATTGCTCTTATATCTTGATTCTCAAGTTTCCATTTGTGATAATTGAACACATCATCAGTCAATAGAATGACTCTAGTACATTATGTTTGATTTCTATTTCATCCAATTTAGAACACGAGTCTCTTTTGAATAACTAATAAAAAAGAAATTGATTTAATGCATATATATTTGATTTAAAATGTGAAATTAATTGTTTTAGAAATCATCCTGATTTAAAGTTTGTGTGTTGGAAATTCAGTTAATTTTTATCAGACTTGATTTAGTGTTAATTAATCGATAATTTTATTCTCATATATTTACTATTCTACTAAGGTTGAGAAAACAATAGTAAAATCATCTTTTGGTTTATTTAATTGAATATATTAAACAAGTAAATTCCAAATGAAATGAAATTAAATAAGTTCCAATTTGAGAAATTCCAAACAAAATGATATACTGATAGAAATTGGTCAATAAAGATAGGTAGAAGTTGAAATGTAATGAAATATAATAGAAAATAATGCAATTTGGTGTCTAAATATATCGCTTTCGGCATAATTGAGAGCGTTGAAGCAACCTTGCGTGCTAAGTTTATGAGGAAAGCTCACTTCCGTGAACCCCACCATATTACGGGGAGTGCCGGCATCAACTTTAAGTCTTTCTTTTTTCAGAAGACAAAAAATCCCAATTTCTTCTTTATGTGCTTTGGAAACAGTATAGTAGGCTGTGTTGGACAGTGGGATTAGATACGATTGTTGCAGCCACTGTTTCCAATTGTTTCGAAAACGATAACCACAATTTCTACGCATCAACGTAAATTTCATTGCCTGTGTAGGAACTATTCAAGACTCACAGTCATTGTGGGGATTTTAAGACATCTCACCCACGAATATACATCCAAACTAAATATTAATGAATAATGTAAATAATACATTTAACAAATTAACAATTTTTGTTATTAAAAAAATAACTTAATTTAATTTTACAAAATCGATTTACATATTTTATACACGGACTTAATTTATTAGAATATGTCGATTAAGATTTATGTCTAAACTATAAGATTTTTACTATGTTTTAATTAATCAAATATCGGATAATAAAAAATGAGTCAGGACATCACATTTATACTTTTAATAAACAACTAATAAATTAATTAAATTAAGAAAAAAAACACTTTAAAAAGTTGGAAAAATGATCTGATTTAAAAAATAAATAAATAAATAGTTATATATATATATATATATATATATATATATAATTATATTTTTTTAGTTTACCTTTAAGAAAACATCTAGAATAAATTAAAAGTGGGTCATATAATTCATATTAGTTACCTTATTTTCAAACATATGTTTTCAACGTAAAGATTCCATAATTTTATTTAATGCTAATTTTGTCCATAAAATAGTAATGTTTGTTGACTTTTCCATGTTACCTATTTCAAAATAATATAAAATATGATTGGACATATAAGAAAGGATCACATAACTAAATTTTGAAATTCAGATAGTGTATTAACTTAAATATTAAGATAAAGTTGTGAATTAAATCCATAACTTTTGAGATTTTTTTTTTAATTCATCAAACAAATTTTATAACTATTAGGTATTGATAAAGGAATTAAACTGATAACTTCTCTTATATTTCTTTAAACTTGATTACAGAGTCAACCTTATAACTCCAGTATTTTTTTGTTTTATATTACAGTTTTTTTAACTTTACCATTAACTCAACTCTATAACTCCACTATTGCAAAAATTAATTTTCTTAAATTATTTTTCAATTTTTTATCTTTAATTATAATTATCTGGTGTTAAAATAGAAAATATTAATCAAAATAATTGAGATGATGAAAACATTTTAAATTAAGATAATTAAATTCACTTTTACATGCGAAAGGAATATTAATCAATTAACGTATGTGTTTATTATTTTTTAAAATACAAGACAATTATACATAGTGTATTTCTATTTCTAATATATTACAATTGGTAACTTTATATTATTTCTCTTAATTATTATTATTTTTGTTTATAAAATATTATTTAAAGAAAACAAATACATATAATTTTTATTTTATAATTGTATAAATTTATCATTTTATAAGAATGATTACTAGAAATTACATTTAATATTATTGGAAATAAAATTTGTTTTATATTAACTTTGCATTGTATAAGGATAGAAAAATAAATAAAAACTTTATATTAATTATAATTTTTAATATGAAACTAGTGGGCGTAAGCCCACTTACCTTCAAAAGCTTTACGGCATGCACCTCTTCAAATATCAACCTGCACAGCGTCAAATATTAAAATGTCAAAAGTAACCTCACAAATTTTCTTAATCCATTCCTAATCCTCTTTCTCTTTTTTCCAGTTGCGCAAGTTTTGGCGGGTTCGAAACACATTTTCGTAATTTGTAATCCGGTAACACCAATGCCAATACCAGTTCTGCCACTGTCTCTGGGAAGGAAGACACTTTCATATAAATCAATCATGATAAAAGTGGAATTCCAAAAAGTGATACGGTGGAGGTAGTAATTGATGGGGTGCGGGAAGCATTTTCCAACTTTTTTTTTCTTTTGGACTTCTAAAAAATCAATTCTCTTTTGAACTTTTTTTTCTCTCTATTTTATATTTTTTTAATATCAGATCTCATTGCTTAGTAAGTTGAGAGTTAAGGACTGTTTTTATCCTAATAAATTATTTATATTAGTTTACTGTACTATAAAAAGTAATTTTTTTTTCTGCTAACATTGGGAGCTTTATATTTAGTTGATTAGGTGAAAAAAAATGATTATTTTCATCAATATAATTTTTTTTCTTTTCAAAATTTGGTTATAGTGTCTCGTTTCCCTAGAATTTTAGTATTTTCAACTAATCAATTTTATTTAATACTAAATAATCCTTGACTTTAAATACTAAATTTCAAGGACTATTTCATTAATTTATTAATTTTAGTAATTAATTTAGTGAATTAACAGAAAGTAAACGCTGAAAAGTTTGCAACTTCACAGAAAGCGTCCATTCCTTCTTTCCTAAGATATCAATCACTATCACTCTACGCGGTTGGTTTCGGAATAATAAATATAAATAATAATAATTATTATTATTAGTCATACAATCGACATATTAAAACTGTAATTAAGAAAAATTATAAATGATTATAACAATTACAGTTAACCAACAACCAATTAATTATTATTAAATTTATTATTAAGTATATAGCCTAATATTTTCATAACCCGAATCTTTCAGATTTGATTAATGATTGGCTATTTACATTTATAGACCCCACCACCCATTTCCCAATGATAAAATTATTACCTTCTCTTCCATTCTCATATCATATTTTTCCTATCTGTTACCTTACACTGCTCTGTACATTTTCCAGGACAAGGTCAAGATTTCCTGGAAAAAGTTCTTTGGGAAATTTATTAATACAGGACCAAATTTTTCTTTTCCTCATACCAGAATCCCATCATATATTCTGAAAAATCTACATATACAAATAATAATTAAAAGAAAAAAAATCCTAATTTGATTCCAATGGGGCAAGGGCAATTCCAAAGACGAGTTGCTCTACCAAGCAAGTCAGTTATGGGGAACAACGAAGGAATCAAAAGCCTTCACAGAGACGGAGCAGGCCTTGAGGTATTGGAACCGTGGGAAAATTTCAGGGGGAAATGTGAATTTTGTTATTATTATTGATGGTTCTAGGTTTGGATCGGTTGCATGATTTTATTTATTTTTTATTGAGATTGGTGTGTTGATCTTTGATGCAGTGGAGGGACAAAGATGCGAAGACCCCCTTGATTGTTGCTTGTATGAATCCTCATCTTTATAATGTTGCGAAAACTTTGATAGAACTTGGAGCCAATGTCAATGCATATCGTCCTGGTATTATCTCTTTTCAGTTTGTTGTTATTTCTGGCTTCATCAATTGTCTTGATGGAAATGGTGCTTACTGCTTTTGTTTATGGATTAAATAATTAAAATTTCTGAGAAACAGGGTTGTTGTGGTAAACGGTCATTTGATAAAACTGATACTTGGTAGTAAAAGTAATATAATCCTCAGAGTTTTCTGGTAATTAGGAATAGTTTAGATGCTTACATGGCCTGTAGATTCCTTAGTTGAGATGGTTGTCTTGCTTGTGTATGCTGCACCGTCATCCTTAATTTTTCAGAACAAGAATTGTAATTGAAATTGAACACTGAATTGGTTTATGTTCGGTGTCATCTGTTGGATTTAATTTTCAACTGTGTTTTAGGTCGTCATGGCGGGACTCCGTTGCATCATGCAGCTAAAAGGGGCTTTGAAAGTATTATTAAGTTACTTCTTGTGCATGGCGGTATGGTTAATAATAGCAATACATTGATTTACTTTGGTTCATTGAATTCAGAAAACTTATCTTATGGACTTTACCAATCAACTTTGCAGCTAATCCTGAATACTAAATGATGATTGTCTAACTGCTCTGGAGGTTGCCAGAGCCAAAGGACATGGTAGTGCTGTTCGTACAATTGAGGTACAAAACCTTTGTAATGTAACATCAATTTCCTTTTCTTTATCATGACTCCTAAGGCACACCTAAGTTGTTAAATGATGATTGTTGGCTTGCAAGTCATCTGTGCTTGTTCTCGGGTGGTGACGCGAGCTTTCATGGACCTAGGGTTTCTGGAAGTAGTAGCTCCTCAGTTGTTATCGAGAAAAGTGTGGGTATCATGTGACATGTTGAAGGATTTAATTTGCTATTTTATGACTAGTTTTGTTACCTTTATTTCTCAATGGATGGACATGCATTCAAGCAACCTGCAAATTAGTTTTTTTCAGTTGTTTAAAGGATGAACTTTGGTAAATTTGGCGAGTATTCTCACTATCCATTAATTTTATTTTCAGTTGGGTGGTTGTTTTACCAGTGGGCTCCCGAACTCTTACCAAACCTTACAAGTTGGAGTGGAGCTTGCCATATATTCTAATATGCAGGTATTTCATAGTTAACTATTTTTCCCTAGCATTGGCAGCACACAGAAGATAATATATTTTCGATAAAAAGAAGATATTTGAGACACTGAATCATTTTACATTGAAACGCATCTACAACAATATATGTTTGCCCTTTACATAAGACTTAGGCTTTGTTCACTTGAATGGATTTGGGAGAGAGTGATTGAGAGGATTTGAAGGTAAATTTTGTTGTTGTTTATTTGAGTGAATTTGAAGGTAAACGAGAGTGGATTTGGAAGTAAATTTTTTTAATCTGTCACATCAATCAAATCCTATACTAATTCTCACAAACTCTACTTCTAAATTCACTCTCACTTACCTCCAAATCCACTCAAATAAACAACAAAAAAATTTACTTTCAAATCCTCTCAAATCCCCTCAATCACTCTCCCCCAAATCCATTCAAGTGAAACAAGGCCTAGAGTTTATGCTTTACAGCTTTTACCATTTTGAAAATTCTTTACTGCTTTTATTCTTTTCATATCATTATATGAATTTTCATTTCTTCACTAATACATGAACCTAAATAAGCAGGATGCACAACCACGTACAGTTATTGCACTGTGGAAGGCCAATTTACATGAACCAAAGTACACCAGTCTGATCCGTCAGTTACCAATGTTGATCAAACTACTAGTATTCCCTCATTACTATGCTATTTTCCTTTCCTGTCGGGTTGTCAAACTCAAGATTTGGGTTAACTCATGGAAAATAGTAAACTTGAATCTAAACTTGGATAAGTTTACATGCTTTAAAAATTATCTAGAAAATATATAGTAGTACACTACTCAAATATATTTAAATGGAAATGCATAATTAATATTGAATATTCTACATCATAGAGAAAACAAAAGTAATGAAATGAGGAACATATCTCAATTCTGGAACCAACTGTCATTATTATGTTGGCCCATATACTTTTTAAAAATTAGAAAACATAAAATTATCCTCATAAAATAAAAATGAGCAAAAGGAAAATTAATTGGAGATAACAAAAAATAAAAATAGCTTTATAGAGTCAAGCACCCAGAGAATGGAGGTAAGCTCAACTGAAGTACACAAGCTATGTGTTTTGGACTGTGATAATAATATATCTAATATTCCCTCACAGCCAAATAAAAAATAATAATAAGACTAAACTAAAGATAAAAGATAAATATAAATAAAGTAAATAATCTAATAGAATGCAAATCATATAACTCCGAAAGTTTACTTGATTGCATGAGTTGTGAGGAAAAAAACTGGTTTACTGGAATACTTATAAACTGATTTTCGACAAGATTCCTTGAATTGAATGAGTTGAGAAAAAAAAACCGAGTTTGCAAAAGATTTAATTTTGTTTTTGATCAAAGATCTTAAACTCCTTTGAGAATAAATATTGAGACTTAACAGAGAGTGTGACAACCATGGTTTTTCATACAAAAAATGGTTTCTTCTTACTGGCTTTGACATTGTCTATTTTATCTGCTTCTGTCCAGAAACACGTGTTAGACTTGGGCCTGCAAGTGAGAATGACAAGCAACAAATTACATTTTTTTCTAATGCTTGCAAAGGAATTCCTCAGGTATGTCACACGTTATGTTCATTGATTCTATTATGATTGCTAGCTTTGCGGTGCTTAGATAGTAACTTTAAATCACTATTCTCTGAATTCTGAGTTTTTCTTTGGAATGTAGTTCGTGATGATTGTCTATTACTCAAATGGTAATCCCTAAGGAAAAGTTTTGATTCTTTTTCCTGTGAAAAAGAAAGTCATTGAGATAACTTAAATGTCAATTACGTGTTTCTGAAATTTGTGGTTTAAGGATAACTTTTAATCTGGCAAATAGCTTAATTTCTCCCTATGATTGTTAAAGAGACAATGTAAATTGCATTTTCTCTCAAAATAGTTTGTTTTGTCATTGCTAATAATTATTTAAATTAGAGGGTAATTGGATGAATTTTGTTTGACGACAACCATGATAAAGTTTTATCCTACTAGGTGACGTTCCTGCAAAAATGACACAAGCTCAGTAGACGTGTTTTTTAAAATGATTTTAATCTTCTATATAGTCACCATTGAGATTCCCTTTTTTTTTTTTAACAAGCTTCTAAAATGTCTTTCTTGGGCTCCTCTCCTCTTTAATATGATTAACAACCATGGATATACTAAAAGATTCACACCCAGCATTTGATCTCTATAAATGTGATACTAAAAGATGGATACTTTTCTCATTGAAAACCACAACGTTATTTTTATTTCTGACATCTATCAAATATTAATACTATTAATGTAAATAGTTGGAAGATGATCTATTTGTTATTTTCCAGAGAACCAAAACATTGTGCATGGTTGCAAACATTCTTTGCTTTCGTTTATTCAGAATGGTTCCCTGTAAACATTCCCTTATTCATTATAAATTCGAATCTTCGTAGCATTCGTAGCATATATTATTACAGCAATTTTCATTTTTTATTTCCTTTTTATCTATTGACAGACGTTTTTCTTTTGGACCAATTTCTATTTGTTCTTTTTTATCTTTACAAGAAATTTTGATTTTTCTCTCACTTAGTTCATTTGTAACTCCAAAAAAGGGTTTTCACGAAGTTTGCAGATAAGTTTGAATTTTGATACATGACTGCCTTCTCATTGGAGTGGTGCATTATTCTTCCGATCTTCCAGGCAAGTCCGGCATTCTTGCAAAACAATGCGCCTACAGGTCCACCCACAGCGCCACCAGCTGCAGAAGACACAGAGTTAGCTATGGCCATCAATGCATCCCTTCAGTCTGCCATCCAGGAGAGGCCATCCTTTCCTCATACACAACCAAACTCTGACGCAAGCTCTTCAAGCACTGCAGTGAATACAGGCAATCATGGTTTTCTTGGCACACCAAATTCAAATACAAGTGAAAATGAGTTGGTGCAAGAAACTAAAACTGGTGGCAATGGTGATCACCACCAAGTCAGTCATGCTCGGGGAATTGGATTTCAATCATGGCTCCACCATATCGTGGGTGGGTGATTATTCCAACAGAGGCCAATTCAGTATCCACAATTGATTTAAGCCTGTTGATATATGGCATCTTTAAGATGTGGAGCAGGAAAGATTAATAGGGAGAGAAGGAAAAAATGCAAGTGGAAGTGGCTCATCATGTGTGATATGTTTAGATGCTCCAGCAGAAGGGGCGTGCATTCCCTGTGGTCATGTTGCTGGATGCATGTCTTGCTTGAACGAGGTGAAATCAAAGAAATGGGGTTGCCCTGTGTGTCGAGGCTAAGATTGAGAAAAGAGAGAAAGA